TTTATTATATTTTAAACCCATTTTCCATATATTTGCCCAACACACTAAATGATCTAAATCACTTTTTAAAGCAACAGCGCCCTCTTCATAGATAGCAACACCCAAGACCTTAATATATTCTGCAAATTTAAGTAATTTATTGACCATTCTTTCATGTATCATTAATATAAATCAAAAGAGGCAAAGGTCCTAAGACTGAGCCCTGAGGTACCCCACCTATGACATTAATCCAGTTTGACTGAACTCCATTTGTAACCCTCTACTATTTTCCATCCAGTCATTCTTCTCTCCATTACATTTAAAATTTAATTCAACTACTTTTTATTCGTATTATATCAATTAGTATAACATAAAATCGTAACAGATAATCCACATTTTAATAGTATATAAGTTTTATGTTCTTAATTTTATAAGGCAATATTTAATAAAAAATCATAAATTTCTCTTAGTGTGAGAAATGTGACCTTTTTCTCTAGACATCCCCCTTCTCTAAGTTATTTACCATCCCTCTAAGAAGTACGGAATTTAACGTAAATTACTCATAACATTGTCATCGCTCAGGCAAATTATAATTTTAATAGCCTTCAATTTTATATGGTTATATAGTCATCAAATAGTCTTGCCACACTCACATGTCACATCCTCTCTTTCAGGATTTGTCAATAGTTGTCTCTGACGTTCAGTACTATTTCATTTCTAACCAATAGGAATCCAAGGTTTTCATCTATCAAATTACGTTGTTTTCTGTACAGAAAAGTGTTGATTTCTCTTTCAGTACAAACTTCGTTCCACGGGAAAGCTTGTACCGAAAGAAAAATTAACGTGCTGGAGATGAATAATGACAGTCTAGAAATCTGATGAGAACAAATTTGTCATTTATTGTTACTATATGAAGTTTTCACTAAATAATTCAGCGAATACGAATACTATGCAGTTGAATTCAAATACGAATACTTAAATTTTCCGTACAAAAGTATTCGAATGTAAGTACGAATACTCTCAAAACTCTATTCACATGCATTCGAATACGAATACCCCATGTATTGTCATTTTACACTATATTGGACAGAAAACTATATGAATGCTATTATTCTTTTGGCATATTAGCCTGACGCTAAGACAGCAACTTTCTGGTGTTTTTACCACAATAGCATTTTGGACTCAATGCTCAGACACTAACTACTTGGGAGTTCTGTAACTAACGGTGTTTCAAATTGCATGCTTAGATAGCAACCATTTGACATCGATGGTATAATATATTTTATGTGGAGACTACTGTTGTTTTTGTTGATACTGTTTTACACTATAGACTGAACCATGTAGTATAGAATGTTTTCTTTTCATCCCATTGATGTTTTGGACTCGTGCCGAGTTTTACCATCTGATAATGTTTTGTACTACATGCTGAACCAGCAACTATCTACGAGTTTTACCTTTTAATAATTATATTCCCTATGCTTGAACAGAAACTGCCTGTAGATCTTTACACCTTAGAGATTTTGAACTCCATAGTGAGTCAGCAAATGCCTGAGAGTTTTCATTCTGATGGTGTATAAAACACCATCCTGAAAATATAAATGCTTGAGAATTTATTTCATTGCTGTATTGGACTCTGTGCTAAGAAACTCCCTAAAAGTTTTTGTATGCTACGAACTTTTTAGACACTATTTTGAGACAGCAACTGCCCGGAAGAATTTTTAACCAAGTAGCGCTTTGATCTCTACGCTAAAATAGCAAATTACTGCATGGACATTTTTTGCACAACTGGCATTTTAGACTACATGCCGAGATGGAAAAACTATCTTAAAGCACATTATACGAGTTTTGACTCCTTTGAAATATTAGACTTCAAACTGAAAAAGCAAGTGCCTGCGAGTTTTTGACCTTTTTGGAATTTTGAATTTCATTTCTAGTCGAGAGAAGCTTGGAAGTTTTGAATTCTTTGACATCTTAAATTCTATGCTAAGAAAGCTACTGCCTGAATGTTCTTACCATAATAGCTTTTTGAACTGAGGTAGCAACTGGTTGGAACATTTTACTCAGTTTCATACTTGATGATGACAAAACCTTGTCGAAACGTTGTACATTTGCTGTTATGTTAAACTTATATTAAAGTTTTTCTTCATTACCCATTCTAGCCGTCTCCAATCATTATTTTACTCTTTTTTTTTTTTTTGGACTCCTTACTAAATCAGCAACTGCTAAGCAGACAACTCCACTAGCGTAGACTATTGAAAAGGTAAATGCCCAAGATTTTTGGACCTTGACTATATTTTGGACTCCATGTTGATACAGCAACTGCCTGGGAATTATTTAACACTAATATTATTTCACGCTTCATGCTGACACACCATCTGCCTAAGAAACTTTGACATCATTTGAGAACTTGTACTGAGAAGACAACACCTAGAAATGTTTTTACCCAAATACAAAATTATTAAGTGAAACATACTGCAAAAGTCTACACGCAGTGATAATGTACAGGTCAACCTTAGCTTTGCATAGGAAAATAATACTGTCCCAGAAACATTTGTCAAGTAAGAGTCGAGTTTCAAATAAACGAAAGTTTACTAGAAAGAACTTTTTCTAATAAACTTGGTGCCACGTTCACTAAATTTTATTTCAGATTAGGATAAAATGTTTAGCACACTAATAGAGGTAAATGTTAAGTATCTAGACAAATATATCATTAGTCTGCTAGCAGCTCTTCAAAGTGATTATTCACAAACATTCAACAAACCATTTTGCCAAATAAAACTACCATATGTTATAAACTTGTCTATTTCTTCACCACATCTTGCATATTGTAAAGAACACATGGGTTATCATTTAAAAAAATAGCACAAATCAATCACTATAATAATTTAAATAAGTCGATATTACTCATACCTGGTTACTTTACAGTTGGTATTCATAAATTATTCAGATAACTGAAACCAATTTAATTGTTTCATAGTAAGACATTAGGAATTAATCTGAATGAAACAACTGCATAGTCACTTTTGCCTCACCCTGTACATTAGTGTATAAAACGGTCAACTACACTACATTTGCGAAACCCACTACCAACAAAACCTTTCACCAAAATAACAAAACTCCTCAAACTGGCTAGGATACTGATACATTAGTAAAATCATAAAGGTAGAAAAAAGAAATAAAGCAATAAGAAAAAAAATATTTAAAACGTTACAGTACATATAGGATTAGTAGTTTGTTGTCAAAAGTTTTATGATAAGAGGTAATTACTTATTCAGTTTTATTAAAATGTACTTTGATTGTGCAAATAGACAAGCAGAACTGTCTGGATATTTTTGGTCAAAATTATGGTATTATAGTCTTACAATATACACGGATATTTTACATTGCAGAAGATAAAGTTAAGACTTTATTCACTCCACTAAAAGCCGTGTAGTTTACTGTCTGCTTACTCACTAGGCTAATCAGTGAAAGTATGCAAGCCTTAATATTTTGTTATTCAAACCCAGTTTATCCTTTATATATATATATATATATACACACACACACACACACACACACAC